GATGGCATGAAACAAAAGAACAGTTTTTGGATGAAACAAAAGGTGAAACAAAAGAGAAAGTTGCACGGTGTCCATTTCTTTGTTTGGTTTTCAGGCTGCATGCTTTTCTTCATGCAATCCAGGGAGTTCTTCCACATGCATCAGAGGAGGAGGAGGAGGTGTCTGGGCCAGTCAGAGCCCAAGAAAATAGTGACGTTGCCAGGCTATAGGTCTCCTCTGCAGATCCAGAGGAAAACATCTTAAGCCCTGCTTTTAACCTCGGGGCTCCCCTTCCCCTCAGTTTTAGGAAGGCCACCCATGTTGCCCAATGGTCTGAATTTTTTTGTTCATTCAGACGAAAGAATGAATCCACTCATTCCGAAAGGCCCCGTTTTTGGAAGTAGCACTCAAAAACGAGAATGGGGCCATACAAATTAAACAAACAGAAACGGATGGCAATTCTATACAAATGCACAAGACTATTTGTTACTGCATTCTAAAAAAATGATGCTGTGGAGAAGTAGGAGGGAGAAAAGCATCAACACTTTCTAAATGTGGCTTTAGTAATGTGGGAAGAACACTGGGTCGGTGGTTCCTATTCAACCAAGATATCATTTCAATCGTTTATAGCAGGAAAAAGTTTACTGTATCTCTTCTCTTCCTTTTGAGAAACAAGCACAAGATGTGACAAGTCTGGAAATGTTCTACTAAATTCCTGTGTCATGAACTATGTGCTTCAATATTCTCATACATAGATCTGACTAGAAGAGTTCTTCACAGACATGTTAAGAAATCCCACCCTTAAACTAAATTAAACCTGCTTGTAAGGGAAGGCTTTGAAGAAACTAAACATTTATTTAATTCCTCTTTTATCACACTCGGCTCTGACACAATCTGCCTGTAAGGTAGATTTTGACAAGAAACGTCTACGTGAAGCATGTTTCCGTAATGGTAAATATATAGGCCAGGTGTACAGAAAGAAGGGGAGAACAGAAGGGGAAATGAGATGACGAGAGGCTCAAACTTCTTCATCTGCTGCAACAAAAATAATAAAATCTGGGCCAGATTTCCCAACTAAATGTGTCTTTGCACATTTGAGCAACAAGCCTGATGAATATTTTTGCTTTTAAACATGCCTTTTCCTCTTCTTTCCATCTAGAAAAATAGGGGCTTTTAAAGGGTTATTTTCCTGTCTCCGCTTGTTTAAAACAATGAGAAAAACAATTTCCTAAGGAGGTGATTGAGCTCAGAAGAAATATATCCAAAATATATTTTGGGGATGAGATACTGATGTCAGTAGAGAGCACTATAGAAGGAAAAAGAAGCCACCTTTTAAAAATCTATTTTCCCCTTCAAGTTGCTTCTAACACCACAATTTTATTAAGTCCTCCATAAATCTAAAGTTTTCTCTCATAACATGTAGAGAAACCACGTCTGCAACTGGACATCTTTTCTGGCTGTTCTATTTATCTGGATCCATGCTGATTACTGCTCCACTCCTAAGGGCAGCATCAACCAGAAGTCAGATTCCCAGCAAATAGGGCAAGGTACGGCTCAAAGAATATCCTTGGAAATGAACATAATACTTAATCGGCCTACCACATATTCCTATCACACTGAGGGATTCCACTTAAGAAGGCTATATTAAATGTTACAGAGGATTTAGACTTGCCACCCAAAAGAACTGCACTTTGTTTTAATTCTTTATCCTGGGTTAGGTACTGGAAACAAAATACAGAACACAGTGGTCTAATGGGACTTTCTCTGATCCCAGAAGAAGCAGTCAACAAACTGGGCAAGGATAGAAAATCTGCAGCAAACTTACAGAATGCCACTAGAAGGGGATAAGAAAAAATATATATGTGTGTATAATTTCAAAGAATTCACATACTGTTTTATATTTGCATGTGACAAACAATTCACAACTAAAATGTATAGCATGACTCCCTTATACACAGATTCAGTATTCAGTTTCACTTATCCACACTCCCAAAATACCCCCCCCCCCCCAGAAATGTGCATAGGAAGACCAGCTACAGATGTGGCTGAGCCCACATAATCAGGGTTAATATGGAGCCGACAACAGGGAAAATGCAACCCAAAATAAGGAAAGAAGTGGTCCAGGAATACCTGGCAACTTTAAATGAATTCAAGTCTCCAGAGCCAGATGAACTACAGCCAAGAGTATTGAAGGGACTAGCAGAAGTAATGTCAGAGTCACTTGCAATAATCTTTGAGAATTCTTGGAGAACAGAAGAAGTCCCAGCAGACTGGAGGAGGCAAATGTTGTACCTATCTTCAAGAAGGGAAAAAGGAGGACCCAAGCAATTACCGTCCAGTCAGCCTGACACTGTTCCCGGTGGCGCAGTGGGTTAAACCCCTGTGCCGGCAGGATTGAAGACTGACAGGTCATAGGTTCGAATCCGGGGAGAGGCGGATGAGCTTCCTCTATCAACTCCAGCTCCTTATGCGGGGGACATGAGAAAAGCCTCCAACAAGGATGATAAAAGCATCAAATCATCCGGGCGTTCCCCGGGCAATGTCCTTGCAGATGGCCAATTCTCTCACAACAGAAGCGACTTGCAGTTTCTCAAGTCGCTCCTGACACAACAACAACAAAAAAAGTCTGACATCAATATCAGGAAAGTTTCTGGAGCAGATCATTAAGGCAGCAGTCTGCAATCACTTAGAAAGGAATGCTGTGATTAGTTAAAGTCAACATGGATTTCTCAAAAACAAGTCATGCCAGACCAATCTTATCTCTTTTTTTAATAAGAGTTACAAGCTTGGTAGATGCAGGGAATGCTATGGTTGTAGCATATCTTGATTTCAGCAGTACAAAGTCCCCCATGACCTTCTTGCAAGCAAACAAGTCAAATGTGGACTAAGCAATACTACTATTAGGTGGATATGTAATTGGTTAAGTGACCGAATCCAAAGGGTGTTCACCAATGGTTCCTCTTCAACCTGGAAATAAGTGACTATTGAAGGGATCGGTCCTGGGCCCAGTACTATTCAACATTTTTATTAATGACTTGGATGAAGATTTAGAGGGCGTGTTTATCAAGTTTGCAGATGACACGAAATTAGGAGGGATAGCTAATACTCCAGAGGACAGGATCAGAATTCAAAATGACCTTAACGGATTAGAGAGCTGGGCCAAAACTAAGAAAATGAATTTCAACAAGGACAAATGTAAAATACTACACTTAGGTAGAAAAAATGAAATGCAAAGATATAAAATGGGTGATGCCTGGCTCGACAATAGTTCATGTGAGAAAGATCTTGGAGTCTTCATAGACAATATGTTGAACATGAGCCAATAGTATGATGCAGCAACTAAAAAGCCAATAGTGTCTAGATCGAGGAACATAATGGTGCCTTTGTCACCTGGAATACTGTGTCCAATTCTGGGCACCACCGTTCACAAGCTGTAAGGTGTTCAGAGGAGCACCTTACAGCTCCATATGAGGAGCTCTTAAAGAACTGGGTATGTTTAGCCTGCAGAAGAGAGGGTTGGTCTCCAGTCATGTATAAATGTTATAGGGTGTCATAAGGAAGAGGGAGCAGTTGTTTTCTCCTTCCCTTGAAACTAGGACTAGGGGCAATGGGATCAAATTAAAGGAGACTCCATCAAGAGGAATTTCCTTACCATATAAGCTGTTCCACAGTGGAACTCTCTGCCCTGGAGTGTGATGAAAGCTCTTTCATTGGAAACTTTTAAACAGAAGCTGGATGGCCATCTGTCAGGGATACTTCGATTGTGCTTTTTCTGCATAGCAGGGGGTTGGACTAGATGGCCCAGGTGGTCTCTTATTATTCTATGGTTCTATGAAAAGCAAGTCAAAGAAAGGAACAGATGTCCAATCAATAACATTAGGCACACGAGCACCACTGACTACTACGGACCACCCAAAGGTACACGGGCAAGGTTGGACCTTTTATGATGAGACAATGGATCATCCAAAGGAACTTCAGCAGACTTTTAATTCTTCTTATGAACCAAAGCATCATTAGAAGACTTATTTTGCTTTTTGGAAGCAGCAGAGAATTCAGAGAGAATGTGCAGTGCCAATGACTTTGAATGGAGCTGAGCTGAATTCAAAGTTGATGGTGCCAAGGTTTCCTGATGAGAGGAAATTTTGTCGCTACCAGCAAAATTTATTCATACAGTATATGGTGTAGCCAGTGATATCAAAGTGCATGAAGTAATACCCATAGAGGTCATCAAAAGAGGTCTGTTTTGGGTGGCAAGATCAATGATGTTGATGACTGTACCCTAGAGAAGGGCTTTAAGAGTTTACACTCTGTTCTGAGCACATTGGTGGGAAAAGGTTCTACACTGTAAGCACTTATCCACAATGTTGGCTTCCCACAAGCAGAGCACACACTTAGAATGACTGTCTGCTTGTGGGATCTTCTTTCCACAGGAGACATAAGCTGGAGAAGAATAAAGAAAAACAATGCACAAAGTTCCCTATGATGTGGCTACAATCATAAATGAAAGAGAACTAAGGAGGTTTCAGAGGAAACCATACTGAAAAAGTGTGTGTGTGGTGGGGGGGTTGGGGGGGTGCTTCAGCTGAAGAGAACGAACACGATTTTTTCCCGAAGATAGTGTGCAGGTGCAGAGAATATGTGAGTCACTGATATCATGAAGAAGAACCAAGATTTCAGGTTTCTTGAGTGTCAAAACACATACTGAGCTAATTATTTTAGCAAATTCCTATGTTTAGGAATCAAAGCGTTCAAACTGGGGCTGAAAGACTGTGTTTGCTTGTGCCAAGATGACTGGTAAGATAAGAGCCCAATCCTGTAGGATAGCTGTCATTTTTTAAAAATCTGCTCTTCAATGATAAATAAGAGGCTTATTTTATTATTTTACACTTTATTATTGTACTTCAAATGTTCAAAAATCAACACATTAAATTGTCCACACTAAGAAACACCCACTGCAATTATACTTCTATATTTAACTATAATTTGCTAATTTTTGGCTTTATAAAAACTATAATACTTACCATCCTCAAAAACTGCCCCAGTTTGAAAAGATAATTCAGAGCTATGCTCTGCCTCACATGGGTATACAGCTCTTGCTTTTCTGCTGACAATACTGAAAAATATAAGTGCATTCTTCTTAGTGCTTAAATCAAACATGATCAGTCTGCAGTGGCTACATTTAGAATACATAATATATAGAGAGAGAGGGGGGCACTATTGTCTACACAAGCTATGAATGGGGAAAAAAGGTTTCAAATGTTCAAGAAAACATGAGAAATTCCAAGGAAACAAAACTGTATCTGCATGAAGAATCATCTCAATAACAAAATGCATCCCTCCAAATATTTTTGGACACCATCTCCAATTATCCTTCACAATTGGTTACGATGGTTAGATAGGTACGCTTCCTATCCCTGTACTATTTAATAAATTCAAAGCATACAAGGTAACAATTTGCACTTAATGCAAAGAAACCATAAGGTGCGGAGAAGCCTGTTTAACTAAACTCATAAGCATCCCAACACACTTCAGTCAATGTAGCTAATCCTAGAGATATATATGCTAACGTTAGCTACGTTTTAATAAAGTGATTACTGTCTTAGGTTCATAAAGTTACACTCTGATTTGCGCTGAAACAGCTGATCGGTATAAAACTAAATTGGAAAGTTGAGTAATTTGGCTATTATATTTGGAGAAATTGAGGTTTATAGAGCTCACTCTCTCATGTAATTACAGCTAGTTGAAGTTTGTTGTTTTTCAAAGAAAATAAAAAGAGAGGATGTGGGGAAGGAAGGAAGAGAGAACCAATAAAATCTACAGCCTTTGACCAAGGCATAAAAGCTGCTTTTATACCCAGAAAGATGCACAGTGAAATCGTTTCACACAACCGTTCGCTTGAAGTAGCATGAGAAAAACTTGTCAAATACTGTTCTAATCTCAATTAAAGCAGATGGAGATGTCTTTAATTCTCACATAATTTGGTTCTAGCCACGCTTTCTCACTGTGGGTGAAACTGCAGTTAGGACACAATATAGTGTAGTCTATGCTAGTGTTACTGAGTATGGTCTCCTGAGCCATGAGGTCCCAGTCCCTAAACTTCTTCGCAGGCACGACTGGCAGGCATGAGAGACAGGGCCTTCTCAGTGGTGGCCCCTTGGCTGTGAAACTCGCTCCCTAGGGATATTAGATCAGCTCCTTCTCTCCAGACCTTCTGCAGAAAAGTGAAAACATGGCTTTTTGAACAAGCCTTTGGGAATCTAGTGCAATAGATAAATACGGACTATGTGACATCAAATACTGGAATGGCTTAGACAATGTTTTTGGACGACGGAGTAGGTAGTGATTTTATATGTTTTTAAAGTTTCAATGTATTATTTTATAATTTTGTTTAAAATTTTAATTATAATTTTTACATTGTTTTAATGGCATCAAATAGCTGCCTATGTTGTAAAGCCTCCTTGAGTCACCTTCAGGTTCGAGAAAGGGTGGGTGGGTAGAAATATCATAAATAAATAAATAACATGTTTCCAGAGAAGAAACAATGCTAACTAACAGACACAAATAAGTTACGTTTCTCTTGGCATACCAGGAAAAAAATAATTCCTGGTTCTCCCACACAGAATAGTCTGGTTCGAGCTATAATTTCTGTACAGATCTTCCCCCACCATTCAAACTTTAAAAAATCAAAATGATTATTTTTAAGGTACATTAAAAGGAAACACAGTTACCTGCAATCTGCTTGTTCTTTTTTCATTTTTTTCCTTACACCCCCCCCCCCCCAATAAACCCAAAACGTTATTTTGCTTTTCCCAGAAAACAAAGGATAGAAACTTGGATAAATATAACCAACAGCACAACACTACCTTCCAGCTGGTTTGTCAGTCTCTCTGCCAGGGGAGGGAAAAGAGAATGATGATAATGATGGTGGTGCAACTGAGGTAGGTGCTGTGCTTGACTGAATATTTGTCCAGGAAACCATCGATGAATGAATCTCAATGGAACTGAAAAGAGATATTTTCAGGGAATGATTAGCAATTCATAGTTTCAACTTCATACCTTTACAAGTAATTGGCTTCTAATATATATATATTCTGATACAACTGAAATCAATGAAATTATAATGTATGCTTTGTGTCCTTACGAGATGCCTTTCTAATACATACCACCAGTCATACATGTATAGGTTATAATCATAGCAACTTACACAACCTAATATGAAAAAACCTGCTTTGTGTCATGTAGGCAAATATATTTTTACTTTTTATTGAGTTGGGTTTTATTGCCATGCATGAACCATACCACGCTCTTAGAAAATTGAAGAGGCTTAGTTAAATAATGACATTTATACAGAGGAGGGTTGGTTGGCACCCAGTGTCATCTAATCAAAGTCTGGGAACATCAAACAATTGCTAATAACATGTCTAACAAGGAGCTACAGACTTTTATACTTCTACAAACAGCAATAAATGTCCTGATAGATATGGACACATTGTCCATCATAGGTTTTGACTCTTTTAAAAAAGGGATTCCCTTGTCTTAAATAAAATGAAACACTGTTCCATGGTGGAAATGGAAGCATAATGTAAGCCTTAAAGCTATGGGATGCCATCCAAGTTCTAGTCTTTAGTCTGATCTGAAGAAGAAAGATGAAAGGAAAGTCTTATATTGTTCCACAAGGTCTACTTTAAGTGATTTATGTTTTTTAAAAGGCAGAGTGTCACTGCTATAAACAGTATAATTTGTCATCTTATTACAACAAAACTCAAGTTTTCCTTTCCTGAGATGACCTAAACCAGATCTCAAAAAAGAGAAAGAACCATGAATGTTATCATCTGATTCTGAAATTGAAGACTAGACTACAGAAATTACCATTTATTTATTTATAGTATTTATATTCCGCCTTTCTCACTACGCAGGGGACTCAGGGCGGATTATAATGCACATATACATGGCAAGCATTCAATGCCATTTAGATGTACAACATATATAGACAGACACAGAGGTAATTTAACATTCCAGCTTTCCGGTTTCATGAAGGTTTGCTCGATTCCAGCCACAGGGGAGTTGCTACTTCACTGTCCACTTGTGACACTGAGTTTTTGTTGGAGTACTTCCTCATCTTGCTTCTAGAAGGTTTTATGGTGTCGTAAATTAGTTAAATTAGCCTCCCTGCATAAAGCGGTACCTAAATTTCCTACCTGGCAGATGCAACTGTCTTTTGGGCTACACAGGTCAACAGCAAGCTAGATTATTAATGGTCAGGAGCTCACTCTGACCTGTGCTGGCTTTGAACTCAAGACCTCTTGGTCTTGAGGCTACTAACTAGCTGTGCCACAGCCCGCCCCTAAACATTATTTTGCTATATTAAGCATGCATGTGCAAACCTTTTTCCCCTTGGGGGCCACACTGTGGGCTTGAACGAGAGAGGGTGGCCAGGCATGTGGTGGGTGAGACGGGCCTGGGAGGGAGAGGGAATGTGAAAGGAGGGGGCGGGGCAGGGCTCCAGGTCATCCTCAGATTTTCCGCCTGGTATAAGGATGGGGCTACTCACTTCATCCTTATGCTGGGAGGAAAACAAAACATGCACCGACTGCCCCGATCCTCCTCCCCCGATCTTCGGGCTGTCCTCTCAGCATTATGCCAGGAGGAGGGTGAGACAGGTGACTGCCAAGAGCGCTCAGGAGGCCTCTCAGCCGCTGCATGCCTTCCTCAGGCTGTTCTCTTGGCATAAGGATGCGGCGGACCACCAAGTCCTTATGCTAAGAGGACAGGGAAAATGAGGAGGACCTGAGGTAAGCACCCGGGGGATGCATCTGCCCCCCGGGCCTTAGTTTTCCCTGTATATAGTCACGTATAAATTGACTTCATGTATAAGTTGAGGGCAGGTTTGGGGACCAAAATTATGGATTTTTATATCACCTGTAAATAAATCAAGGTTCATTCCACATATGTGGAAAGCTCCAGTGCTGCTTCGGGGGGCAGCTGCCCTTGGCTGTGGCAACATTTCCCTCCCCAGGCATTTGAAAAGGATAGAAGTGACATCATGGCAAAGTGACCAGAGGAGGTAGCAACTTCTTTTAGGTTCTCCTGGTACAGACTACATTCTTGTCATTTCACCACTCTGCTCAGAGAAAGCGATGGCTCGTTTTTTGAGAAGAGTTAGGGTACAGTACTTACAGTGGCCCATAAATAAGTTGAGCGACGTTTGGGGGTTGCTTTTTGGCTCAGATTTATAGATTTAGACATGAGTATATAGGATACTGTAAACACATTCATGTGTCATCCAATAGCATACCGATCCAGCATGTCAAGTGATGAAGTATGTGTTCCTCAACTTTTATCTAATGGGTATGTTACAAATTTAACAGCACATAGTACCAGATCCTTTCCAAGAGGCAAAATAAATTCTGAGAAGAGCAGACACCTTTGAGCTTCATTCCTCCTTCTCCCTTGTTTTATGAGAAATTCAGTCCTGCTGAAGAGAAATCACTGTAGTGCTCCTGTCAGATACAGATTGTGGATATATAACTATATATGAAGAGTTCATGGCCTACAATGCGGCAAAGAAAAGCTCTATTTCTGAAAGAAATGTAGTGAAGTCTCTGCGGATGTAACTAAAAAGAATGCTGCCCATCAAATATCCACATGGGCTATCTGTGATTCCTCCTCTCTCTCCCCCTCAAAACCTATATTTCCATTTCAAAAAAAAAAACGATTGCAGTAAAAAACACTCACTTTTATTAAAAATCTCATTGTTATATACTCAAGTTGTGTGATGTAGAACAAATTCCTGAATTATAAAGACCTTTAAAAAGGTAAAGGTATCTCCATTTCTAAGCTGATGAGCTGGCACTGTCTGTAGACACCTCCAAGGTCATGTGGCTGACATGACTGCATGGAGTGCCATTACCTTCCCGCAGAAGCGGTACCTATTGATTTACTCATATCTGCATGTTTTTGAACTACTAGATTGGCAGAAGCTGGGCTAAAAAGCGGGAGCTCACCTACTCCCCAGATTCAAACTGTCTTTCGGTCAGCAAGTTCAGGGGCTCAGTGGTTTAACCCGCTGTGCCACCAGGGAGCCCTTAGATTACAGTAAATTTAGACTAGCTAAAAGGGCAGAAGTACAAGTAAGGGAGCCATGTGAAATGTTTTTACAATCATGGATAAATGGAAAGAGTGACAAGGAAAACTATTGCCTTGTATAATTTAGTTATAAGAGAGATGAATAGGAAAGTTATAAACTATAGCTAAAGATGTGCATTCACATTCAGGAGCCAATTTCTGATTTTTTTCTGACTTGCTTCAAAGCATGATTCTATAGTCAACTTCCAGTAGAACCTCCAGTGGAAGTTGACAACCAAATTGCGCTGGAAGCCTAGAGAAAACCCTCCACTAGACATTGCTATGTTCTCCAAAGTGATTTTGAGGTATCCACAGCTCTCTTTCCATATAAATGAAACTGTGTTCCACAACCTCGAGTAATAAGAAGGCCTACAATATTTAGGGGAGGCCCCGGTGGTGTGGTGGGTTAAACTGTTGAACTGCTAAACTTGCTGATCGAAAGGTCGGAGATTCTAATCCGGGGAGCAGTGTAAGCTTCCACTGTCAATCCCAGGTTCTGTCAACCTAGCAGTTCAAAAAGATGCAAATCTGAGTAGATCAATAGGTACCGCTCCAGCGGGAATGTAACAGTGTTCCTTGCAGTCATGCCAGCCACATGACATTGGAGGTGTCTACACACAATGTCGGCTCTTCAGCTTAGAAATGGAGATGAGCACCAACCCCCAGAGTCGGACACGACTGGACTTAATGTCAGGGGAAAACCTTTACCTTTACCTACTATATATATGATATGGTTACCATGGCTATATAGAAACTGCATATTTCTAACATGCATCCTATCATGAATGATGAATGTGCCTATCTGTTTGTGTATAGTTTAAAAAACACAGAAACCACTGGACCTGAAACAGCACTGCATTCTTAAGTGCTCATCAATTTCTACATGGGAGGAAAAAATGTCTCCCTTGCTGGAAGAAAGGTGGAACATTATTTTTTTATTTATCGTGTCAGAAGAAAGTTGAGGGTATAGTTAAAATGCATTTAAAAACACAAAGTTTTTTAAAAAAGCACTTGGCATTGTGCTAAATGTCTTTTGACCAGAAGCTGGCCACTCTGGTGTCACTGTGACAATGTCCACCATTGTGCATGTGGCGGTGCTCATGCTGCATTGTAGTAGGTTGGTCTGTGGTTTGCTCTTCTCCACACTTGTATGTCGTGGACTCCACTTTGTAGCCCCATTTCTTAAGGTTAGCTCTGCATCTCGTGGTGCAAGAGCACAGTCTGTTCAGCGCCTTCCAGGTCGTCAACTCTTCTGTATGCCCAGGAAGGAATTTCTCAACCGGTCTCAGCCACTGATGGGGGTGCTGGGTTTTAGCCTGCCACTTTTGGACTCTCGCTTGTTGAGATGTTCCTGGGAATATCTCTGTAGATCTTAGGAAGCTGTTTCTTGATTTAAGGTGTTGGCATGCTGGCTGATATCCGAACAGAGGATGGGCTACAGATGTCAATCCCTTGGTCCTTTCATTATGGGCTGCTACTTCTTAGCAGATGTCAGGTGGTGTGATACCAGCTAAACACTGTAATTTCTCCAGTGGTGTGGGGTGTAGACATCCTGTGATAATGCGGCATGTCTTATTAACATAATTAAACAAATAAAAGAAATGTAGGAATGGATCTTCACACTCTGACTAGGCCCCTCAGAACAGCAGTTTTAGCAGCATTAAAAACAGACAGATCTGACTCTGAATAGCTGAGCTCTTTATCTTAGCACAAGAAAGAGCAAAAGTCATAATGGTAACTTTTTAACAAAGCAATCAGCTATACAGGCTTCCTTCTGGGCGCTTTGAATTGCAATAAAAGATTCACTCTTTTAAAAAGTCTTAGTATGATTCACTTTCTACAAAAGGTTTAACCCAGAATAGAATGTTTCCCTGGGCTACACAGCACAGAAACACTATTCCAACTATACCAGTCTTCAATCTTCCACTGTGACTGCCACTGTGATTCCACATTTCTCTTTTCCAAATGATTGCACAGAGGACTGAACTTTTAGATTTAATATTACTGAAGAATGGGGGAAGAGACATTAAACTGCATTGTACTACTTTTACTCAGAGCTCTAGGTTAATTATAAGAATGATTTTCATTTACATGCTTATTCTAAAATACTTTGATACCCTTTTCTAAATATCATTTCAAGTGCACCTGAAAGGCTACATTTTTTCATATGTGAGAATCTACATTTACAACAGTCAATACATTTTCCAAATCTAATGATAGGTTTCAAATTTATGCACATAGAATGAGCACAGTAGAAGTGGATTCTTGTCTCCTCCAATAACCTCTCTGGCCCCCAAAAATGATATATATATATGATCAGGGGACCCTGCTAAATGGGGAGAACTCTACACTCATTGAATCATTGAGTTGGAAGAGACCTTGTGGGTCATCCAGTCAAATCCACTGCCAAGAAGCAGGAAAACTACATTCAAAGCACCCCTGACAGATGGGCATCCAGCCTCTGCTTAAAAGCCTCCAAAGAAGGAGCCTCCACCACATTCCGGGGCAGAGAGTTCTGAACAGCTCTCACAGTTAGGAAGTTCTTCATAATGTTCAGGTGGAATCTCCTTTCCTGTAATTTGAAACCATTGTTCCACATCCAAGTCTCCAAGGCAGCAAAAAACAAGTTTGCTCCCTCCTCCCTATGACTTCCCCTCACATATTTATACATGGCCATCATGTCACCTCTCAGCCTTCTCTTTTGCAGGCTAAACATGTCCAGCTCTTTAAGGTGCTCCTCATAGGGCTTGTTCTCCAGACCCTTGATCATTTTAGTCACCCTCCTGTGGAAACTTTCCAGCTTGTCAACATCTCCCTTAAATTGGTGCCCAGAATTGGACACAGTATTCCAGGTGTGGTCTGACCAAGGCAGAATAGAAGGGTAGCATGACTTCCCTGGATCTAGACACTATACTCCTAAATCCGATTTGTTTGTTTTTTAGCCATCACATCACATTGACGGTAGAAGTATGATTCCCCCAAATTGAACAAAGGAACAGGACCCCGGTGGTGCAATGGGTTAAACCTTTGTGCTAGCTGAACTGCTGACCGAAATGTTGGTTTGAATATTGGGAGCGTGGTAAGCTCCCATCTGATAGCTCCAGCTTCCCATGCGGGGACATGAGAGAGGCCTTCCACCACAAGGTGGTAAAACATCCGGGCATCCCCTGGGCAGTGTCCTTGCAGATGGCCAATTCGCTCACACCAGAAGCGACTTGCAGTTTCTCAAGTCGCTCCTGATATGGAAAAAAACAACAGTGGAACAATCAACAAGCTAAGGCATTTAATGAGCAGAAGACATAATCAGCAGGAGTATGTTATTTTTTTCTTGATTTCGATTATTTTATTAGAAACAACAGAAAAATGCTTCGGAAGAAACTGAAAGTATTGCTTGTACTTTCACTGAGCAACACATTTTTTCTATGTTAAATATAAACCTGCTTTGGAAAATAGATGCTGCTACTTACGGATGGGCTGCCCAGTCCCCTGTATCACCACTGTCACTCATAAGATGGTTTTTCTGTTCATCTGGAGGGCTGTTGGGGGTAGCAGTGGTTGGAGACTGAGAAGAAAGAGAATCGGTGCTACCAGTGGGTGTGCATTCTTTGGGAGGATTAAGGCTGTCATCTGAGGAATGAGTGAGAAACATGTTTTATTAAATGAAGGAAGTACAAAACTGTAGCATGATATGCAAAAGAAAAATAAATATTTGCCTCTTGATACAGATTTCATTGATCTTTGCTATCCTAACTTATGAATGGCTTCGAGCTAGAGGTAAACTTAATTAACCATGAAACTGCTGTTCACTAGAACTGGAGGAGAATTGACAGCTTTTCTCTCATAAAATTAGCATAGTGGCATAACTACATCATCAACTAGATACATTTTCTGGATAAACATGGGGGATATTCATCATTAGCTGCCACTCAATTATTCAGATGCATAATTTATATCTAAATCATCATTTACAACAACATACTGAAACTAAGACTTCATTATCTTCCACTCAATGACTACATACAGAATGAATGAATGACACTGAATTAACTCATGTTGGGGTAATGTTTTCTGACATGAAAGATAAAGAAAATTTTGCCTCAAAGAAAGTATATTATTGAATTCTATTTTAGTATTTTTAGATACCAGTATGAATTAGGAGTAGAAGATACAGGAAATGGCTGAAAAATCAAACATACTTGAACTCATTTTTCAAGGTAGTTTCTTGGATTGTTGTAGACTAAGGGTCCTCAAACTTTTTAAACAGAGGGCCAGGTCACTGTCCCTCAAACTGTTGGAGGGCCGGATTATAATTTGAAAAAAAATAATGAATGAATTCCTATGCACAGTGCACATATCTTATCTGTAGTGTAAAAACACTTTAAAACAATACAATAATCAAAATGAACAATTTTAACAAATATAAACTTATTAGTATTTCAATGGGAAGTGTGAACCTGATTTTGGCTGTTGAGATAGGACTGTTGTTGTTCTTGTTGTGTGCTTTCAAGTCGTTTCAGACTTAGGTTGACCCTGAGTGACCCAGGTAAATGGCCTTGGAGGGCCGTATCCACCCCCGGGCCTTAGTTTGAAAACCCCTGTTGTAGACCTTTAATTATGGGAAACAAAAAGATGCTGCTTCCTCTTATAAGGAAGAGCAGGAAAGCGCTTCCCACACCAATTTAGCACAGCATGATTTAGAAGGTTTCCCACCCTTAACATTTCCTCCCATGTTTAGATTACAAGAGCATACTTATTATGCACCTTTACATTTAAAGATGAAAAGCAGCGCAATTAGGAATTTAAAATACTAGGGAAGCCTAAGGAGTAAAATGACATAAAGAACTCATCTTATCCAGAACTATAATGAGGCATTTATATATGGTTCATTATTTTGCTATATAAGGCTTATATTACTGTGATACCTAAAACTGGCAAAGACTACTTGCAACGTGCTAATTATATAGCTTCTTCTCTTATAGTAGTAGTAGTAGGTAATATTACCATTATACCTAATAGCTACCGTCCGTATCTGTGCCCTATTCACCCCACCAGCTCAATAGATATCTTGAGCAATGATCAATCTATTTGTCCCCAAGGAACTGGGAAATTGATGCTTCTGTTCAATATTTGATGCTTTGTCTTATGTCTGACATAAAGAGTTGTGTTTTTTAAATTTAATTTTAGTTGTTAAGTAATTATTTGTTTTTATATGTTGGGTTGCCAAATTTCGTTACTATGGGAGTATTGTTGTTGTGTTTGGGCATTGAATGTTTGCCTTTTATGTTTGGAATCCGCCCTGAGTTCCTCTGGGGAGATAAGGCAGAATATAAATAAAGATGATGATGATGATCATCATCATCATCTTTTTTTGGCTTAATTGCTTAGCCAAAATGCAGGTGGACATTAAATTCAATGGCACATTAGAATCACGTGCCAAAACATGCCTGTTCCCCTTCATCAGACTCAGGGTCTTGGATTCACCAGTGTCCACCTGATGAAGAAGCTGAGGCTTCCCAGCTGGCCTCACTCAGGCTCTGAAAGCAGACAGCTGGAAAGCCATGCCCCTCAGCCAAGTCAGACTGGACTTGGCTTGGGGTGGGGGGACTTCTTGCCTTCCAGCTGAGAAGCGAAGGAGAAGAACTCCTCAAGTCTGTATTCCATAACCAGCCATTGAGAGGATAAGGAAAAGGAACATAGGGTGGAATCAGCGAGTGCATGCAATTCTCATATGGTCTACAGGCCCCCAGACTAGCTACAGTTGCTAACCTCTGCCTTTAAAACGTCACAGGGTATGAAATCTGGAGACCTTGATTAAGTCATATCATAATATGAAGAACAAAACCCACTTCAAAAAGGTCAACGGATAACATGGGGAATTAGATTGTGAAGCAAGAGACACAAATTAGGTTACAGTGTCAATACAAGTCAAAACAAATTAATTTACACTGTGAAGTGGTACAGTTATATCATAACAGCAGCGGACATCAAAAGGGAAAGCTCTCCCTCTCTATCTAAAAACACTCTGCTATCCTGCAGAACAAAACTACACAGGGATATTTTTTCTTTTCTTTTTTTTTTTGGATCTACCTATAATTTATGTCAAATATCTAATGCTTACATAGGTTACAATTCACATCATGAGAAGAATGATAACTAAGACAGATAAACTGATGGCAATATTTCGACTGCACCTTTCTCTACAGACACTGTTTGAAGGCAGCTCAGAATATCTCATTATTATTATTATTATTATTATTATTATTATTATTATTATTATTACGTGTCGAAAGCATTGCATAAGTAAATACGTATAACACTGATATAATTTAAGATCAAAAGCGGGCAACAGTGACTGCGTTGTCTGTAGCTTTTAACAGTTCTTCCTCTGTGCATGAGGCAGGGCATTGTGGGCAAGCATACAGATGCGGTGTTGCTTGTTCTGCTCCACAGTCGCACGAGGTGGAGGATTATTCCCGGTAATGCCATTTTGCCAGGTTGTCTTTTGATCTGCCAACTCCACTTCTGAGTCTGTTCAGGGACTTCTAAGTTGTCCATTCTTGGTTTGTCCCTGGAGAAAGACCCTCGTAGACGGTCAACCAATTGTCTGATTTTGCTGCCAACAAAGACATTCTTGCTGTTACTGAAGGAGCATTAAGATGAGTGGTGGTTCTCATGAAACCTTTCTTTAAGTCTACTGGGAGGGTCTGAAAGCCATACAATGGGTGGCTTTCACAATGTTCAACCTTATTTCTCTTGCAATTTGCAGCACATCGCAAATCAGGGGGGCAATGCCAGCTAACTTATAAAGTCCATCAGCAGGTGTATGTTTGAGACATCCTGTGATTATTCTACTTGTTTCATTCAGTATTATATTTACCTGCTTTGCGTTGTCAGATTTATGCCAGAAGAGGCAGGCATACTCAGCAGTTGAGTAAGACAAGGCCAGGCCTGGTGTTCTTATTCATTTTCGGTCTGCACCTCATACACTATCAGTAAGTTTCCGCAAAATGTTATTGTGTGCAGCTACTTTGTGCTTCATTTTTGCACAATGTTTCCTAAATGTCAAGTGTTCTATCTAAGATGATGTGGAGATCTTTAGGGTGAGAACAGCTCTTGGCCTTCCCAGGTAATTTTCCTGTTGGCTTCACGATTACATAGGTGGAAAGTACACACTTGTGTCTTGGCAGGGTTAGGCTTCAGGTGGTTATCTTTGTAATAGCTGGAGAGATCTTTCAGGGCATTGCTGAGTGGATTTTAACTGTTTCAAAGTCTTTTGCTCGTGTTGTTAGGCCAAGGTAATTAGCATATATAAGATCACTCATAGCAAAGAAGGAAACGGTATTTATTTGGGATATATTCCTAGAGCTCCATCTTCGTCTCAAAAATGGTGATGCTGTTTAAATACCAGCAATATGGGTGCTAATGAACTATTTAAGACCATCAAGGGCTGCTGTGATTTTGTGATGTGATTTTATAAACTTTTATGATTTTAACCTGGATTGTAATAATATTAATGTTGTTTAATACTTTTTAAATTTTGTATATGTTAAGTTGTATAGAAATGCTTTTAGTTGTGAGCTGCTTTGAGTCTCCATATGGAAAGAAAAAGTGGGATATTAAATAAACGTAATAACAGTAATAATTCTTCAGCCATACAAATCACTTGCAGTTAGTTGCTAACACATTCCTAATTCTGTAGCTGTAGGTCATATCAACGAGGAATAGAGTAACACCAATATTTACTCCATAACGCAGGCAACAGATCCATAATCTGTACCAGGATGGCACTGGCCATCTGACCTCCTGAGAGAGGTGAATGCCAACCTACAAAGATGTATGCCTTCCTTAAAATCATTGTGAAATCACCAGCATCACATTTTTTTTAAAAAAAATTCAAGTGTCCTATTCAACACATGCATGACAACTTGAAAAAATACCAGCCTTTTCTACTGACAAGGCAAGTCATGGTTTCTTCAGTAATTATAGACCTTATATATTTGTTCATCAGCCACTTCAATAAGAGCAATAACAACATTTCTCAAATAAGAGATATTAAAAACAATATTTTGTTTTATCAAAATGCACACTTTGTCACACCATGTGCAAAACAATAGATATCCTTATTAGGTAGACAGTGACCTTCTTATATATTAAAGTAGCATCCTTTGAAAGGAATCAAATAATTAAAAGTCTCTTTCCATTATACTATGTTAATATGATTTATGTTCATTTTATGATGTGTCTTTGTATAGTTTTAATGGTTTTTAACTGTTTTAATTGATAGTTATATTTTATTAGTTAGGGTTATCAATTTATTTTATATGTATGTTCGGCATTGAATTTTGGCCATTTAGTCATGTTGTACACCTGGGGTGAGAAGAATGGTATAGAATTGCAATAAATAATAATAATAAAAATATGTAACACGATTTTTGTTCCTGGGTTATTTCCTCATTTGTTCTATTATAAAAACATGCAAAAGGTTTATTAAACTGCAAAGACTTCATTTTTGCGGGACATCCTGCAGCACATTTTGCTATGGTTTTTCAACAAATATCTCATAGTCTCAACCAATTCAACAGAGTTTGTGGCAGCCACAAAAACAAAGTTTCTAGAGTATAACAACTATTTTGAAAGTAAGTATCACACAATTAAACAGGAAATAACACTTTCAAACCAGGAACAGAATTTTTTTCAAATTTTGTTACATAGTGTTATCAAAAATGTTAGGTTTTATGAGGACACCAGATGGCCAATTCCTTCATTAAGCCAAAAAATATCCTTTTCAAACGAATGTCTGAAAAGCTATAATCTGCCTTACATATTTTAGCAAAATATATTTTTTATTTATTTAACATTGAATCACATATGGATATCAAAGTTCTATTTATTCATTACTCTTGCCTCAAGTTTTTCCTCCATACAACACATTATCTTCAAAAGGATCTTGTAAGGTGAAGTGGTGAGATAGCTGTTCAGTGAAATTTCCATATCGGTACATTTGGAGACAGCAAGATCTGCCTACGTAGAAGCATTCCAACACATCTGTAACATGTCCATTTTATCCTAATTGAACAGAGGACTGGCTATGCATGTAAACCTATGGGTGCAGTGCTGAGTTCCATGTGACCAAAGAAAAATGAAATATTTACAACCCTAACTATCTCCAATGTTAAAATCGGAGGTGCGCCTCAGTTACATCTAATACCCATCTTAATGGCTATACTTTTCATTTCACATATTAGAATTTGTTTATGTTTTTAATAATGTGGAACAATCAGGGCTTTTGTTATCGCAATAGTTCTCTGTAAAATGCAGGAGTAGCTGTGTTGACCATAAAATACATACCGTGGAAATGTATTATGCTAATGTTCAAAGCCTCTATCTTCTTTATCAGATAAAGACAGTAAAACAATGTAAGGGAAGGAAAATGGTCTGCATCTTACTTGGTAGACCCATATAATGTGGATGAGTTCTTTGCTTTTATGGATACCCTTGGGCACTTTGGCTTTTAATTAACTTATTTATGGAACTATCATGCTTTAAATGTGTTTAATTAATGTTTTAGTGTTTACTGTTTAATTGTTATTGGTTTTATTAGTTTTTCTTATTAATTTGTTATTTACTTTTGTGTATTGTTTATCATGTTTTAATCTTGTTGTGAGCCACCCCGAGTCCCCTTTGGGAAGATGGGGCAGGATAGAAATAAAGATTATTATTATTTGAAACACAAGAAGATTAGTTGTTATTATTTGCTGAAACACAGCAAACAAAATTATTATTATTATTATTATTATTATTATTATTATTATTAGGCTTAAGAACATTACCCTAAATCATGCCAATAATGATAATAATGATAATAATAATAATCTTTATTTATACCCCGCCCCCATCTCCCCAAAGGGGACTCAGAGAGGCTTACATGAGGCCAAGTCCAATGATACATTACAGCAACATAAAATATAAACAACAAAATAACATCACAATAAAATAAATAAACCAATCAAGTAATAGAAACAGTACAAAATAACATAATGGAAAATAATAAAACACAGTGGGCGGGCCAAATGCACGACATAAAATGATAAAACACTGGATGAGATAGCAATGAAAAGGTACATTTGTGGGGGAGGGGCTTATTTTCTTGTATCAGCATATATACAGAGGAATACCTGGATACTCTATTTCCCTATCTATCTATCTATCTATCTATCTATCTATCTATCTATCTATCTCCTGCAGTCACCTTAAGTCTAATTTTTAGATTTCCACCATAAACTGCTGCAACATATGTCACTACTAAACAAAGTACCACGATAAAAGATATGGAAGTGGTATGCTAAACCAACTTCTTTGCAGAAGAATTATACTCTGTTTGTGCCTTGACTCCTCTTGGTCCTGGCTCAGGTGCTATATCAATTAATTTGCTTCTTCCCCTGAAATCCCAACCTTGTTTCACTCTTAAGTCAGGCTACCTGCCAGGAAGCTTTGTTCTCTAGCAGAAAGAACCAATTAATACCTCAAGACATCCCTTAGGTTAGCTGGAAGAGTATCTAGCCACACCTAAAATCATCTCATAAAAAGAAATCACAGATGTGCAGCAGCCTCCTACATGAACATCTCATCAAGGTAGCTAAAAATAAAAGGATCAAGAAATCACAATCTCAGCAAGCTGCAGAAAACAGTTCACAGCAAAGTCACAGATATTGTGTCAAGGTGTTAATTTAGACCTCATAATTAAAATGCCAAGATATGATAGATCCCAGGGTTACCATACAAAAAGAAATCACAGACAAGCAGAGCAAGGAGAGGAACTCCATGCAAAGTGGAAAGTGACAAGAAGAAGCTATAGCAATTAGAGAGATTGGAAGAAATATTGGTGAATTAAAAAAATACAGCACAGGCATACAATATAGACTTTTCTGAACTAGAGAAAAGTGACCTAACTACAGAGATTCAGATAAAGGAAAGGGAACATTAAATACTAATCTTCTCTAATGTGATCACAGTCACACTAGAGGACCTAGATTCCCTGAGATACTCTCTAGCTCTTCCAATATGATTCTATGTTCCCTTTCCAGCAGATGTTGACATGGAGTCATGCTGGAGGTCCTAAAATTCCTAGAAAGAGGTATTATGTGCTACTGTTATTTGATAGTGGAACGGCGTGGACTATGCTTTTGGATAATGTGATTTTAATGTTTGTATATGTTTTTAACTCAATGTTTTAATGTTTAAAAGTTGTTACAGTTTATTATTTAATTGATAGTTTTATATTATTGTTGCTTTATGTTAGGTTTTCATATTTTTGTGAGGCATTAAATTTTGCCGTGAATATGTTGGAAACCACTTTGAGTCCGTGGTATATAAATGAAGTAAATAAATAAATAAATAAAGATGCCCTCTCACGTAAAGAATTACCAAATACATGATTTATGACTTTTCACTTTCACAGGGGCCTTTGCCCCTAACTCCAACGAATGTAGAGGGCTAACTGTAAATGTAAACAGAAAAGAGTTCCTGACTGGGATTTCCCTGAAAACTGTTACAGTCCCTACATAATATATTAAGCTGACACAGTGAAGTTTCAGTCCACCCATGACATGATATTCAAGTATCTCAATAATGATTTCAGTAACAGTTATTAGCTATTTTATGTACGCCAACTTAAAAGTTCCTCTTTTAAAATGTCCAGATATTTGAATAGAATGGATACAGGGCATTTAGCTTAACCTAGTTACAAAACTTGAAATACTGTTGGATTTTAATTGGCATTCTAAAATAAAAGGAATTGAACTGCGTGGCTAGAAATTAGGAAGCCAATATTTCGAAATACTTGCGGAACAAAAACTACGATGTCGAGTGACTGCCCATACTAGTACAGCTTACCAAACCTGAATCTTTAGTCCAGATTAAACAAACATGAATGCGTTATTTTGTCTGTCGGTTCATGAAAGATCTGTTTTAGTTTTCATTCTTGCCCTCTTCAATTGATCGTACAGTTTTAGAATTGTTGTCAAAGGTCAAACAGATTTAGCTAAAAAAGAGAAAATCCCTTTGCTAAAAGAAATCCAAATTTTCCTATAGCTGAAGATACAGTAATATGTCATAAGAAAGCACCCACCCTGCCTCCTATCTCTATTTTCCAATTAAAAACAGATAAGAGAAATAGTAAAATAGAAAATGACTGTAGATTGCTCTGATGACACAAGATACACTGCAAATGCACTCTGCTACCAAGACAGAAAATATAATTAACATCTTACTGTCATCCAGCTCAAGACAGAGATTATATACAGCAACAGGCCTCTTATTACGTTGCCCTTGTCTTCTTGATTGTCGTGGCGGAGCATTTGGAGGAGACACTGATACAGAGATCGGCTCAGGGAAAGTGGCATCAGGCAGAGTTTGAAAAATCTACAGATGAGAGCAAAGAAGACACTGATTATTTACTATGCATGGCAACCTGTATAAATGCAACTGTAAGCAAGTATCAAAATATTTGTTTTGAATTCCATTTAAAGACAGGAAGGAGACAAATCTCCATTCTTCAACTTTCGAGAACATACTAAGTTTCTGTTAAAATAAATAAATACAACATTTAAATAAGCATAAACTGTTCTGCAAATCATTTAAAGTAATTCATAAAGTATGTGCAACTGTGCTTGCCAGCACAGGGCAAAAAAAGAAATTAGATTTAATTATGAATCATCTAGGCAAGATAGAGGCTCTATAATTTTCCCAGTTCTTATATTTGTGCCAGATCTCTTTTCATTTTTTTTAAACTAAAGACAGTACCATCAGATTATAGTACTCCTTTAAATATTTTCCCATTCATATAATATAGCAAAATATTTATCCCATAACTCAAACAATTGCCCTTACTAAATTCTGATTATATAAATCAAATAAAGGACTAAATTCAATGGCTAAACCCAACTAAAATAGACCCATTGAATCAACCACTGAAGGATATATCAATACTTTAGGCTATAAAGCCCTAAACAATTCTGACCCAGCTTATCTGTTCGAACGTATCTCTTTCTATTAACCAACTCGGAGGTTTCTGCAGAATGTGGAGGCCCTGCTCTCAGTCCCACCTTCTTCACAGGTACAATTGGTGAAGACAAGGGACAGGGCCTTTTCAGTGGTGGTCCCTTGGCTATGGAATTTCCTCCCCACCAAAATGATATCAGCACCTCCCTCCTGACCTTCAGAAATAAACTTTAAGAATTGCTGTGGAAACAAGCCTTTTGTCAGTAATGCTATGCAATAAGTGAAGATGGAATATGTGCAATCACGACTGGAATGGCCTTTGACTATGATTTTGGACTGTGTGATTTTAATGTTTATATGTGTACAGCCTTCCAAGGTAATTTACCCAGCCCTCGCTCAGGATCAACCTAAGTCTGAAATGACTTGAAAGCACACAACAACAACAATCCTATCTCATCAGCGAAAAGCAGGCCTACACTTTCCACTTAAATACTAAGTTCATATTTGTTAAAATTGTTCTTCATTTTAATTATTGTATTGTTTTTTAAGGGTTTTTTTGCATTACAAATAAGATATGTGCAGTGTGCATAGGAATTCATTCATTTTTATTTTCAAATTATAATCCAGTTTGAGGGTCTGTGACCTGGCCCTCTGTTTAAAAAGTTTGAGGACCCCTGTTTTAATGTATATGTATATTTTATTTTATTATATGTCTGGTTATATGGCATCACATTATTGCCTTTTGTAAGGCCACTTTGAGTCTCCTTCGGGGTGAGAAGGGCGGGGTCCAAATACAGTAAAATAAATATTTAATTTAAATCTCATCGATTCAACAGGTCTACTCTAGTTGGGATTATCAACTGGATTTAGGTACAGTAGTAAATCAATGGCATGTTTCTGTGATGCAAGTGGCTATGCTGATGGCAACAGTGCCGGTAGGGTCTCCCATGTTAGACAGGTTTTCGCTGTGGAGCTAGACTAAACGTGCCAAACAGCTACTGGGCGGCAGCAATACTGGCAACAATGCCTTGAATTCATTTTAGAAGAAAGGCAGAACGTAATTTTAGTACATGAATAAATGTAAGATTAGAAAAACAGAGTTTGCATATTTGTTTGTTATTCTGCAGAAGCTGAATTAGATTTCTAGGTTATTTTATTGCCAGTAATTTACAAATTCTTCATTGCATTTCTTCTACATAAGTAAAATTAAAAAGGGAGAAACCGAACAACCCACGAATAATAAAATAAAAGTATAATTGCACACTGAACTACAAATGTAAGTGCAATGAAATAAATGAGTCTATCTCAAAACTGTTGAAAAAAATTAATTCAATAAAAGCCTACATGTCACACTTGGGAAATAATCACAAAGCACTGAAACTGCTTTGCAAGTTCAACATGGCTGTTCTAATAATAGCTCAGGGAAGCCACTATATTGCACAGTGGAGGACAAGTACCGAACTAGCTACTGTGAAGGGGTTCCCAAAGGCATCATAGTAGCAACACTTTAAAAAATGACCTTAAAATGAAGGATAAAAATAAACAGAAGTCAGGTCTGCTTTCGTATAATTACAGCCCCTTAGCAACTCAACTTGGAATGCAGCAATGACAATATCCTATAGCTGACTCAAATTTGTAAAGCACTAGCCTCATGACAGGAATGTTACTTTCCTGTAAGTAGTGGAAGAGTCTCAATAATAAACCATTTTTGCCTTTGAATTAAACCCCTCTGCCTGAGATGCATTCTGCAATGTTGTTTCTAAATAAATTCTGAAAAACTAGGCTTGCGACATTATCACACCAAAGTTTAAAACAGGCAGCCCCACATTTCTGCCACCTCCAGAATTCTGAGAAATGTAGTTTGGGAAGGAGAGGACCTCTGTAGCTGAGAACGCAAAAAGCTCTGCCCTAAACTATGTTTCCCATAATTCTGCAGGAGCAAAAATGTGGGGCTGGCTGCTTTAAAGCCCTAGTGTGATCAGACGTTTAGTCTGCTAAGACATTTCAAGGTGCATCCCTAAATCAGAAGGGACAACAGGAAGCTTTTCCAAACCAGTCAAGTGAAGACCTCAAAGGTTTTAAAAATCTTCGTGAAATATTTTGAATTAAACCCCTCTGCCTGAGATGGAGAGGGGTTTAGAGATAATAATGGATAGAAAACTGGCTACTCTAACTAATACGGCTAAATGGGGATACTGGAAGCGGCTATCCAATATCATCCGGAGGCCTACAAGTTTCTGCTAAGTTTCCATTTCAATTAGGAATATATAAATATAAAAAATAAACATGATCTAATGCATTATTGTTAGCAGCTTACAATTCCTGTCTTGAAATACAAAGGATGTTGCAGTGATCTAGAGTTGGGACAGACACACGGGTAGAACCAATTAATTAAGGAGGACTACCTATGCCTGTGCTTTCCGCTGAACAACACTGCCCTCTCAAAGTAATATCCTATTGATTTTGGTATTTTCCAGCATTGACAGAAAGGTAGAACACAATCAGAACAGATAGTAACTGCAAACTACTGGTGCCGGGTCCAAACCATACAAGAGTGGAAGAAACACTGAACCTATCATCATAGAAAGGACCTTCCACTTGAGCTGGTCTCCCTTCACATTCCCAGAAAAGACTGACTATGTTTCATCCAGCAAATGGAGAATGAGAAAAATACTGCTTTGGCCACATCCCTAATCTATCTGCTGTATGGTTTTAAACTTGATTTAATATCGCATTTTTACTGAAAAAAAATATTGCTTTAAATTTGTTTTGTTCCACTGGTACAGTTTTCTTAGCTGTACCAACCGTCTTACAGTAGGAGATGGAACGCTAATAACTTAAACAAAAACTTGGACTGCAGAAAAAAAATCTACGGTGATATATGTGAGATTACTGTAAACCTATTCTAAGTCATTCTGAACTTTAGACTGCTCACCCAGAGTATCTATCTATATATAAAAATGCTCTATGTGTTTTGAGTGACTTCATAATTCAAAATCCGCTGGACGAATTGACACCAAATTTGGCCACAAGACACCTACTAAGCCAATGGGTGATCATCATAATAATAAAAAATGTTTTTGTCATTGGGAGTTGTAGCTGCTGGGATTTATAGTTAACCTACAAACAAAAAGCATTCTGAACTCTATCAACGATGGAATTGAACCAAACTTGGCACACAGGACTCCCGTGACCAACAGAAAGCACTAGAAGGGTTTGGTAGGCATTGACCTTGAGTTTGGGAGTTGTAGTTCACCTACATCCAGAGAGAACTGTGGATTCAAACACTGATGGATCTGGACCAAACTTGGCACAAATACTCCATATGCCCAAATACGAACACAGATGAAGTTTGGGAAAAATAGACCTTGACATTTGGGAGTTGCAGTAACTGGGATTTATAGTTCAGCTACAATCAAAGAGCATTCTGAACCCCACCAATGACAGAATTGGGGCAAAGCTCCCACACAGAACCCCCATGACCAACAGAAAACACTATGTTCTGGAACCCCCTCGCAACCCCCCCCCAAGGGTCCTGACCCCCAGGTTGAGAAATGCTGCCCTAAGGCTATCCAGTCCAGCTCCCATCCAGCTATAGATATAGATAGACTTAGGATTCACACACACACACACATATGTATATGACAGATATGGTATTACAGATTTGAAAGGGATCCCTAAAGAGGGGCAATTACTTTATTTTATAAACTGGGCCATAGCAACGCGTGGCAGGGGACGGCTAGTATTAAATAAATCTATAGAATTTAAAATTCAGTTATTCAATTTATTAATTTATTTATTTCACATATTTGTATCCCACTCTTCCCACCCTAAAAGGAGACTCAGGGAGACCTTACAGCAGGCAGCGATTCAATGCTAATACATATAAATATAAAAAGTCCTGGAACTAAACTCTAGCAGATGACAAAGGCCCTCTATTAATTCTTTTAAAAATATTTATTAATAACAATAATTAATTTCAGAAAACCCTGTGAAATTAATGAGGCTGCTGTAAATTGACAGGCAACTTCAAAGCACAAATACACACACAATGATAAAAAATCTGATAAATTAAAAAAAATCTTTGAGTGTCTTTATCTTACCTATTTTCTCCAAAAAACAACATAAAAATAGCTACTGGATAAAATCAAGAAACAGAGAACTTGTATGCTGGTGCAAACCATTCCACCTCTAATATTGTTTTTCACTGGCTCTTACAAGAAGTCTCACAGGAGTTCAAAAAGTATACACTGCTCCCAGCTCTGCTTTGTAATTCTTCAGCATTCTCTCTAGCATTCGCTGTCCTTGATTATTTTGATTCAGCGCCAAAATCCACCGACCATGCTGCAATCTAAGCAATTCAGAATCTACGTTTGTAAGCACAAGGTTGCAATGATATGCATTGCATTAATATACTAAGC